CATATCAGTTCCAAGTTGCTATTATGCTAGACGGTTTGGGGCGAAATATATCCGTTCTTGTTGGGACTTATTGTTATTGCCCTAAACTCCAACTTTGCGAGTGGTTTGCGGGTGCTCTGGTGTAGTTTGCCACTTCTTTCCTATCAAACATCTATCGTCTTTATCTTCCCACCTTCTTTTTGGTGTTTGTTACTCTAATCTTCGGCACTTATATGACCTTATTGTGTTGCAAGTGCAGTCAAACTCTTACTAAATCTAAATGCCTCCAACTTCATAACATTTGAATTGGATATTTGTAGGTTTGTCTCTTACCGAATACGTTTACTCTATTGTGGATTGAAAGTTGGGGTTTGTGTTGTTTTGTATTGAATGTTTTTTTGTTGGAGTAAAATGCATCCCCATGCTATATCACATTGCGTTTCCCTTGCCTTTAATGAACTTCATTAATTTTCAGCTGCACTTGCCATCAATGCGAACAGTGCGAACAGATATCTTTTAAAATATTATACAGCAGGGTTCCGCGAGTAAGCATTGTCTAGCCAGATATCATTCTCAGAGCCTATTATAAACAGCTAATAACACGTACAAAAAATCGCTTTATTAAGAAGGCTAACTACGAGATGTTATGAAATTAGACGCCTAGCTTCAAAAGATTAATTTATCCTTTTCTTTTCACAGCTCCAGCTTTTTGTTTGTTCCGTTTCTCCACTTCTTCACACCCAAATGCCAGTCTTGACAATACTGCACACGTCACGCTGACAAAACCCCCTCCCGTCATTCATGATACTGTTATGAACCAATAATTTACGATCAGTGAAGGGTCTAATTACTATTTGAATGCCCCGTCCCCAGCAAACGGACGCTTCAGCAGTTAATTTTCGGTTCTCTTTGTCCCAAAATCTCCGCGTCTACACAGAGGTAGGTGATCGTGTTTCTATTGCTGGACCCCCCTGAAGATAGTCCGACACAGCCGTGGGGGGCGTCATCAAGAAGGAAAGGCTCCTCTGAAATACGACGTCCCGTTCTATTGTCTGCACTCTATTTATATCTAGACGAATTACAACTGAGTTATGTTGAGTAGTTAACCCTATCCGTACGTCATGTTTTACTGTCGTATCCATACGACATGGGGAATTCTGTGCCACCACTTAACCCTATCCGTACGTCGTGTTTTACTACCGTATCCATATGACGTGGGGAACTCTGTGCCACCACTTAACCCTATCCGTACGTCGTGTTTTACTACCGTATCCATATGACGTGGGGAACTCTGTGCCACCACTTAACCCTATCCGTACGTCGTGTTTTACTCTCGTATCCT